AGACAAGGACATGTGACAGACTAATTTTGAAAATAAAAAAAAAAAAAAAAAAAAAAAAAAAAAAAAAAAAAAAAAAGAAAAAAAAAAAAAAAAAAAAAAAAAAAAGAAAGAGAGAAAAAATGTACATAGCATACTCTGAAAGGGGAGGAGCCTGTCCATCAAAGTGCTCATGGATCATCTGTAATTCCTCACAGGTGATTTTTTTTTATCAACGTGCTCATGGATCATCCGTAATTCCTCACAGGTGATCTTTTATCGGCATGCTCATGGATCATCTGTAATTTCTCACAGGTGATCCTTTCCTGATTCTGTTTTGTGGGCCAGGACTGTGGTGAGACAGCTGGGAGTTGCCTCAGGTGCATTCTTTTTTTCCTTTTTTAAATAGGCACAGACCAATACAAGGTACATTCTTTAAAGAGGTGCTCATTCTTAGGGCTACATTTGCACGTAGCTACCTCACCTGCCTAGTCCCAGCTCTGCTGCTCTGGAAAGTCTGAAAGCATATTTTTCTCCAGTAATATGTGTGGCCTACATTGTCATTTCCAAATGAGGAAAGCTGAGAATGGGATTCATCAGAATCACCACGGAGGCTTTTTCAAACTACTGTGTATTTCCTCCCAAGTTTTCTTTTCTTTTTAAAGACAGGGTCAAGTTATACTACTGAGGCTTGACTCCTGGGCTTAAGTGATATTCCCACCTCAGCCTCCCAGGTAGTAGCTGGGATTACAGGCATGCAGAGCCACCACACCTGGCTCCTCCTACGTTCTGATAAAACAGCCTCTAACCCATCACAAGAAGCACTGCCATTTCAAATACAAATATCCTGGTATGTTAGGTAGGAAAGATTAATCTCATTGATCAAAGACTAATGGAAAAGTCTCAGGGGATGAAGCACAGAGTGCTCTTCATAACCATATTTTATCCACAATTGACTAGAAGTTACAGGAACACTCTCTTCCCACACTCTACACTTAACAGCAGGAAGCTGATATTTGCATGGGATACAAGGACTATCTGCCAAATACTGGCTTCCATTTTGCCACCCTCTTTACACTATCATGCTCTCTATTCTAGTTGTAAAAACATATAGACTAGTGGCCAGGTGCATAGCTCATGCCTGTAATCCCAGCACTTTGCGAGGTTGAGGCCGGCGCATCATGAGGTCAGGAGTTTGAAACCAGCCTGGCCAACATGGTAAAACCCCATCTCTACTAAAAATACAA